GAGCTCATATTATTATTAATTGTTGGCTGAATATATTGAAGCTTGCCAACAGTTATATATATATAGATTCTTATAAATGCTTTTTTTAATAAGTTATTATTAATTATTTTGAATCAAGTTAACTAAATCCAAAATATTAATAAAATAACATGGACTAACTTTATTGATTATTAAATTAATGAAATAGTAATTTATCTAGCTGAAATTAATGAAATAATATGGACTAACTTTCCTTAATTTTGATAAATAAATTATAATTCTTATACATAAGTTTTTATGAAATTATTTTGGACCTAAGTATACAAAATCCATAATTTTCTTATTAACCAAAAAATAGAGGTATACTCCAACTCAAGCGCAGCCTCAATCAAGTTGGGCTAAGCTAACAAGTGGATAAATGATATCGAGTTTGGACATTCACGAGCCAAATTTAAATTATAACAAGCCCAAGGCTGTGAAATAATTAGGGTCAAAATCTTTTTCACCCCATTATAAATCTATTTTTTCTTTTACACTCCGCCCCATCAAATAACTTCTTTTACACCCCAAAAGTCACGAAATGCTAGTCGCATGTCCAAATGAACCAGCGCATATCCAAGCGGACACATAATTTATGACTATGCGAAAACATTTCGCATTTTTGTAATCGCATATCCACATCCAACGCATAATTTACAAATATGAGAATATCTTTCGTAGTTTTGAGAACCGCATATCAAAATCAAATGCAGCATAATTTACGATGATTATGCGCCTTATTTCGCAGGGCTATATCGACCTTGCAAATTTATGACTGTGCGAAAACTTTTCGCATATCATTCGCATTATTTGTTGAATTCGCATTTTCTGGAAATTGCATATCCAAGTCAATCGCATAATTTACTGGTATGCGAAAAACTTTCGCATATATCCGCCAGATAATTGACAATGATGCGACATTTTTTCCCTCGCATATTGAAGAACCGCATAACAAAATCGAATCAAGCATAATTTAATTGACGATAACGCGCCATTTTTTCACAGGGCCATATCGTCATGGAAATTTTACGACTATTCGGAATTTGATCGCATATCTGTCGCATAAGTTACGTACCTCATTAATTGACTGCTTTTTCACATGTGAGGATTTTGTCTGTGCATTTATCATGCAGGCAAAAAAACAGTGATCTCTAACAATTCAACATCTGCACCATTCTTCTCTACTGCAATTTTATGTTTCTTTCGTTTTAATTCCTTTTGTTGTTCACTTATTTGAATGGCTAGCACCCGTGTTAGAGTATGCGTGAGCTATGGTGGTACGTTTTCCGGGGGTTCATATCTTGGTGGAGTGGCAAAGCTGATGAGAATAAATTACGGCCAACAAATGTATTCTGAAGTAGTTTCTCATGTTCAAGCATTATTGAAGGCCGATACTTGTAATTTTGAGTACTTATTGTGGGCAGTATTTGATGGAAGGGAACGAAAAGTGAAGATGAAAATTGAATCCAGTGAGGATATCTTAGAGCTGATTGAAGAACAAAAAACTCCCAACATTTACGTGGAGTTGGAGAAGCGAGTAAATGTCGGTGTTCCGGGGACGGCGCAACAAAGCTTCACGCAAATGATGGCGTCCCAAGGTGTATTTCCGAGTTCTTTTGGTGTTGGTAGTTCTGCATTTTCCCACGAGGCCCCATATTCACATCAAGCAGGCCCTAGTTCAATTACGCATATTGGATATCCTCGGGGCGCTGATGATCAAACCGCGGGTTGTTCGAACCAACCAGGTCATTCTCGTGACGATGAAATAATGATGACCAAACCAACACGCACAATGGTGACTCAGGCGACGAAGACAAAGA